AGGATTCTCTAAGCGGGTCGGGGCCCAGTGCAGAGCTACTGAGATTAACACTGCCTGCCCCAAGGAGCCAGTTTTGGAATTGTCGTCTCCAAGAGCCACCAGATGGCGCTGTGGGGCAGCAGAAAATACAAAGCAGAGCCCAGCGTGGGTCCTGGAGCAGCTTCCCCAGCGGGGCTGGTGTGAGCCTCAGCCCCACCCCCGAGATACCCCGGGGCTGCGTCCCCCTGCTGGGCACCTGCAACTACAGCACGTTAAGATTGGTGCGACTAATGAGCACAAAATCCCGGGAAGTTGTATCTTAAAATACACTATGTATACATACTGGGTGTCCCAAAAGTCGCTCATAAAGTTGCCATGCAGAGGAAAACTGTAGCTAAATGTACCTTTATTTACAAAATATTCACTAGAAAATTTTACAAAGAGGTGGCCAACACATAGACAACAATTTGTAAATATGTCATAAAATACATAAAAAAAATTGGGTGGCGCCAAAGGAGTAGCTCAAAGGAGTAGGGCGCCGGCCCCACATGCCGGAGGTGGTGGGTTCAAATCCAGCCCCGGCCAAAACTGCAAAAAAAAAAAAAAAAATTAGGGCCGGGCACAGTGGCTCACACTTGTTATCCTAACACTCTGGGAGGCCAAGATGACTGGATTGCCTGAGCTCACAGATTCAAGACCAGCCTGAGCAAAAGCGAGACCCCCATCTCTACAAATAGCTGGGTGTTGTGGCAGCTGCCTGTAGTCCCAACGACTCAGGAGGGTAAGGCAAGAGAATTACTTGAGCCCAAGAGTTTGAGGTTGCTGTGAGCTATGACGTCACAGAACTCTACCGAGGGCAACAAAGTGAGACTTATCTCAAAAAAAAAAGTTTTTTTTTAAATGTTTCAAGTTAATGTTTTAAACCTGGCCCAGCCAAGACTGAATGCAGACTTTGTTCAGTGGGCGGGTGAACCGCTGGGGTCTTCTCTGAGTGGCCCTTCAGAGCACCAACTGCAGTCCAAGACCTGTCTGCAGGACAGCACTGTGGAAGCCAAGCCCTGGACGGGGGGGCCCCCCTCCTCCTCCTCCTCCCCCTCCTCCTGCTCCTCCTTGCCCCTCCTCCCTCTCCTCTCCCTCCTCCTCCTCTGTCTCCCCTTCCCCTCCTCCTCCTCCCTCCCTCCTCCCCTGGGTTTCCCCAGCATCTTTCACTCATCCTTTGTGCACAGATGGTTTTATTGTTGCTGTCTCTTCTCTATCAAGAGTGGTCAGAAAGTCTCTTTCCCGTGTCAGGAACATGGGAAACCCTTTGAGTGTTTTTGAGCACAGCTTGATGGGTTACTGTGCCCACACACGTGCCCCAGTGGGGCAATGGAACCAACAGGCCCCTGGAGATCCTGGGATGCTTTTCTCTTCATGGTCATCATGGGGCAGGGACGTGCAGGTGGGTGGGGGATGCAGGTGGGTCTGCAGCCCTGAGACAGTGACTTAATGCTGGCACTGCATGGTGGTCCTGTGCAGCCTGTTGTGCACCCCCAGTGAGCCAGCTATCCTGCTCGCTCATGCCTGAGCCCCCCAAGGCACAGAGAGCAAGGGAAGGACCACAGGGCAAGGGAGTCCAGTGGTAACTATCCCTGTTTGGAGCCCAAGGACCTGACCTCCATGGTGCCAGCTGTTCCCCTTATGGCCCCTGGAATAGGAAGGCAATAGCCAGGGGCCTTCCAGCCTTAAAACACTGGGATCCATTTACTGCCTCACTCTCCCGAGTGAGGTAAGGGAATGGAGCACAGGCCTGAGCAGTATGTATGGGAAGAGAGAGGAGAAGACATGGGGGCAGATGGGGGAGGCCAGGCCTGGTGCTCAGGGTGAGGAAGGGGCCCTGGGGGCAAAGAGGGAGCAGCCCCAACTGGGGCTGAAGGTGAGGCCGTTTATCTCTGGCTCTAGGCCCCATTCACCCCCATAGTTCCAGGGTCTTCCAGCTTCCCAAGTTCAGTAGTCAGTAGACACAGGGGGATCCTGTCATGTGGCCAGACCTGCAGAGGGCGAATTTCTTGCTGTAACTCAGACCAGCTCTGACTGATGTTTGGGTCAGTCTTTGAAAGGCCAACCTAGGACCTTGCCTGGGTGGGTGGAGATGGATGGAGAATGAGTGGAGGGGCAGCTGGGAGGGTAGGTGTTGTACGGGTAGGTGGATACACGGGCAGGTGGCTGGACAGCCCGGCTAGCCCTGGGTGCAGCTTTGCAGGTGTCTATGGGTGGAGGGGCAGCTGGGAGGGTGGGTGGTGTACGGGTAGGTGAATGCACGGACAAGTGGCTGGACGGCCCGGCTGGCCCTGGGTGCAGCCATGCAGGCGTCTTTTGCAGGTGAGCCTGAGGCAAGCCCTGGAAAGAAAAGTGGAGACAGTGAGCAGACAGATGAGGATGGACAGCTGGACTCAGAGGCCCAGGCCCAGCCCGCTGGCAGCAAAGTATGTCTTCCCCGGCCACCCCCACCCCTCCCACAGCCCCGACCTTAGGGCCCGATGACCTGAACTCCTCTGTGCTCCCTCCACGACTCCACTGGTCTCTGTAGCACGAGCACAAAGAATCTGCCCTTTCTCGTGCCCAGTGGTCTCAGGTCTTTGAGCAATGACGGGATGCTGCTTTCCCCGTCGGAAACCCCACAACAAGCCCTGGGGTGTGCAAGCCCGCTGGAGAAGCCTGGCCTGAGTGGCCAGAGTCCGAGGGCTCCCAGGTGCTGTGAGCGCCGGTTGTCCCAGGGCACATGGGGCCCCAGAGGCTCCCAGGTCCCACGTCCAGGCAGCCTCTGCTTCTTGCAGAGAAGCAGCCCCTCCCTTCTCCTCTGGGAACATTTCTGCCTTTGTATTTTGCCAGCCATGAGCCTTGCTCTGTGCTGCCTCTTTCTGGCTTTCACTTACTGTTTAATGTATCATTTGAGGTGGAGACAAACGGGGTAACCCCATACGAGGGTTCCCAGATAGGGGCCGGTTGCAGCAGAGAGCTGGGTGGGCGAGAGTGGACCTGGGAGCTCTGGGGAATGCAGTTATCTTCTGCATGGGAAGATTTGACTCATACCATGTTTGAAGCTCCCAGAACTCCATCCGGTGCCTGGAATATTCCCTCCATGACAGATAAGTTCAAAGGATGAAAAGAATTCTAACAAGGGAGGGATTTAGAACCAAATGTTGCTCTTGTATCTAAAGAACGTGGAACTCTGGTGACCTCACCTACCTCTGACCCCTGGGCCACTGCACCTCTTGCCTAGCACTCCAGGGATCCTGCTGGCTCTGGGACCTGCATGCCCCCTGCTCAGTGGGTGCAGCTCAGCACTGCTTTGCTCAACCAAGGTCCTGAGGACACAGAACCCATGAGCTCCAGAAGGACTCTGCCCGCGGGCTGAGTGAGCGGTGGGGAGCTGAGGGGTCCCATCCTCCCGGTCAAGCTGACCCTGACTCAGGTCTTGCCCCATCTGTGTCTCCTAAGAAAAAGCGCCTCCTGTCCTTCCACGCCCAGGACTTCGAGGCAGACTCGGACGACTCCTCTCGGCCTCCGGGCCGCCCTCTGAGCCCATTCTCCTTCCCCACAGCCACGGACAGCCTGCAGGTCAGTGGGCTCTTGTGGACTCAGGCCCTGGGCAGGTGGCACAATGAGAAGCCATGTCTGCAGCTATGTGGCCACACCAGGATGTGACCTAGAGTGGGGCAGAAGGGGAACAGGATCCAGAAAGCTCACCCCTGGCAGGACCAGCATGTCTATAGAGGCGGAGCAGACAGCTATGAGAAGCAGGGGACGGGGCAGGGCCCTGGGGCTGGCAGAGGAGTCAGGGGCCCAGGGGAAGGGGTCAGTGCTTGGCACAGGGTAAGGCAGACCCCAGAACTCAGGTACACAGGACAGGGAATGGCATTCACCATGGGGCCGGACAGGGCATCTCCATCTTACTGGTCAAGGATCATAAACTTAATTGCCCAAACTAGGACGGTCTTGCAAGTGAAAGAGGGAGCTACTAATGATGCCACTTGACCCAGGGCGCCCACAGGGTGTGCAAGTGACCCAGGATGTGTGGCCGCTCTGCTCACCGTGTGACCTTGTTCCAGAAACCTCTCAGAGGCCCCCCTCCCATCACCCGAACAAGGGCGATCATTCCTGCCTCACAGGCGTGTTTTCTGGGCTAGACACTATGCCTGGCAGGCACGGGACACCCCGGCAGGCAGCACAGGGAGCTGTGGGCACAGGCCTAGGGGCAAGTGGGTTACCAAGAAGCAGTGCCAATGCTGGCTTCACAGAGAGCCCCAAACGCCAGCTCCCAGGGTCCCCAGCAGTGCCAGGCCAGAGCTAGGGTGGGGCTGGGTCCACCCTGGCTGTCTGCCAACCTGAGGGAGGAGAGGCCACAGGCTCCACTGCCCCTGAAGGCCTGGAGTTCACCTTCCTACCACCTCCTCCCACACCCCCACCCACCCATAGTCAAGCCAGGGCTTGTGGTATTGCCTCTTGAAGCCCTCAGTACCTCATTTCCTGGGAGACAGTGACAAGGTACAGAGACATCCCACACCCAGAGGGCCGGCAGGGTTGCAGAAAAAGAGCCTCCAGGGAGCCCTGCCCCCGCTGACTGTCACTTTCAATCTCTGACGGTTAAGGTGTACATATTGAGGAACAATGCAGCCCCCCAAATAACTTCCCTGCCCACGTCCTCAGGCTCTGGGTCTCTGTATGAGCCTGAACCCCTGGGGCTGCCTCGGGAGAGTTTCAGCCCCCTGTATGGTGCCTGGCTCGGGCATCACTGGGAACCCCAACCTTGCACAGTGGGTGGCAGATGCTTTCAGCATGGGTTTGAAATTAAAGACAGCTGAGTTGCCAGAAACCAGAGCAGATGGGGGTCTAGGACTGGGTTAGTCAGGTGGCGATCAAACTTCCAGTCATGGATTGGAAAAAGCCATGTTCCAAAGAATGGCCCCCTGTGCTCAGTCCCTCACAGACGAGCCCTGCGCAGAGGAGGCAGCCCCACACACAGCTGTGGGCCTGGACGAGGCTGGCACCATGGCCTCTGGGTGCCACTCCCACCCAGAAGAGCAGCTGGACAGTCTCTCCCCTTCCGGACAGGATGCCCTCGCTGAGCCCTGCCCGCCTGGAGACCCTCACAGGATGGCCCTGGGGATTGCTGCTGCACCAGGTGGGTGCCCTTGGCCAGTGTCTTCCAGAGGAACCCCGCATGGGGGAGGGGATTGAGGGGAAGCCCCCAGCACCCCTCTGATCTGTGCAGACACACTGGCTGACCTAGAAGATCCTCTTTCTTCACCGTGACTGTCTGGTGTATTCAGTCTTAACAAAAGCCATGGCCAGCGGCTCTCCCTGGGCTGGGTGCCTCACTGCCACTGACCCGGGGTAGGGACAGGCAGGTTTGGACCCCTGCTCACCTGGCCAACTCCTGACTGTGGAGTCTAATGCTGTACTTGGGGCCAGTGCACCAACAGAGTGAGTCCTGCCTGGGCACCCCACCCCACCCCACCGTCTGCTCCAGGCTGTTAATCTGGAGATCTTTAAGTGATGAGAACTAAACTTTGTTCAGTTTAATATTGTTATCAGGCAGTTTTGCTTCAAAATGAAATCCCTGAATCTCTGTCTTTTCCTGGGCCCAAGGGAGAGTGTACACTAGGTTCAGGAGTTCAGGCGCCCAATTAAGGTGGGAGCTACAAGATCCAGGAGCAGCCAGCCTCCCCATAGAGCCAGAGACACCACAGAGCCACAGCATATGCTGAAACCCCTGTTCCCCATGTTGTGGGACCATAACCTCCTGGTCCTAGCATTGATCAGAATCTTGGGGGCTTTAGGGGAGAGGTAGGGCTTTCCTTTCCCTGGAAATAATGAATAAATGAATCCACGTTGACCAGTCTGAGGATGAACACCTGAAACAATACCTTTCTAGCTCCTCCTGTGACCTCCAGTCCCCAGAGCATGTGGGTGGGAGGCAGCTGGGGGAGGGAGAAGCCCAGGAGGGCACCTGGAGCCGGGCAGCCCAAGTCTGGAGCTGGCTCTGCCAGTCTGTTGTGCTGATTCTCACACGTGGTTTTTTCACGTATCAACATCCCTTGAGTTGGGGGTTTCTCGGAGTGAAGGTATGAGAAAGGAAGCCCTGCAGCTTGGGGGGGCAGGGGCGTCCCCTCCTCCGCAGGCCAGGGTCCATCTGCAGAGCTGAGACGTCATGAACATGGTCACGGTGCGCCCCGCATCAGACCACCTGACCTCACGGTCACAGTGCGTCCCACGTCAGACCACCTAACCTCACGGTCACAGTGCACCCCGC